TTAACATTTTTAAAGGCGGAATCTAGTCAGGAGCAAAAACGCCACGATGAACTAGTACAACTAGAGAGAGAGAAGCTAGAAATTGAAAAGGAAAAAATTTCCGTTTTGAGTGCGTTGCGAGAAATTCTGGCGAATAGAATTTAATTACATTAATTACCTGAAGTATATGATCTCCTATAAACTTAAATTTTTTTTGCAAACTATTGTAGTACAAACATGAATGTGATCGTACAAAAAACATGTAAAACATTTTTTTTTGTAATGCTATTTATTTTTAAATAAAAAATTTATGACGAAAATAACATTTTTAATTCATTCCTTTTGATAATACCTTCACTACTTTCGTTAATATTTTCGTCAACAGCCACTGTATCGTTGTTATATTGGTAGAAATTGTCATCGTCTGAAGTTGCATCACTGCTGTGGGATAATATAAAATTATGTAATATAGTACAGGCCATTACAATTTTCGAAGCACTCTTTATGGTTGAAACGTCGATGTGATTAAGTATTCTAAATTTCTGCCTTAAAAGGCCGAACGACTGTTCGACTAACACTCGTGTGGAACTGAGGTAGTAGTTAAACTTTTTCTCTTCTGGTGAAAGATGTCCATTATTCCTATACGGGACCATCAAATATTTTGATAGCGGATAAGCCGAATCTGCTAATATTACGGCCGTGGTCGCGAGCTGAGCTTCTCCGGAGGTGATCTGTTGGTAAATTGGGCTATTTTTCCAGACATTGGCGTCGTGACAGCTTCCAGGAAAGCCAATAAAGACGTCTAAAAATCGTAGGTTGCTATCGCAAATCGCCTAGATAGAAAAATAAATCTAAAATTGTATATTGTAATAGGGTATATTTATAATACATCGTTTTACCTGCATAGTTATCGAAAAATTTCCTTTACGATCATAATAGCTGATTGCATCTTTTTTGGGGGTGTTTATTTTAAAATGGATTCCATCCATGCATCCAACCACAAATGGAAATGGATTTGTTCTCTTTGATTGGAACTCTTCCATAATTCTTTGTTGCTCCACAAGCGTGGGCCAAAGTATTTCATTTTTTAGTTGGCATATGGTTTTGATGGTCATGAAAAAAAGTTTATGTGCTGTTCCTTTTCCAACGCAGAACCGATCAGAGAGTTCTCGGTACGTTACGCGACTATTGCTTAGC